TTTGACCGGTTCATTTGTTATCCGGTCTAATTAGCACACCCGGACCGGTTCTGGCTCCGGGTCGACCGGGTCCCGGGTCGACCCGCCGGGCCGGTCCAGGTTGAAAAACACTGGTTGTGCCAACTAAACTCAGAAAAGGAGCCAATTATATACCAAAACATTTTGTTATTTTTTTTTTCAAATAAAATAAGAGGCCACTTAAATATTTAATATTTTGTATTATTTTTTCTCCATTGAGTTATGCATATGAAAAGCCTTTTTTGTTCTTATACACTTTACGATTACTAAAAACTTAAGTAATTTTTGATTTTGTTAATACTAAAATGTGTTAAATACTTTATAAAACACATATGAAATTTTTAAAAGTTAAGTCGTTATAGGAATTCATTTAGTGTTGTAATGGTTTTAGAAAATATATTTTTTATTTAAATTGAGAATCATGTAGATTATTACTTAGATTTTTGTATTTTTGCCCTTTTTATATTATATTTATGTTTAATACATGATAACTTATAAATAAACTTGTTCTAATTAACTCACGTAATTTCAGAATTCCAAAACCAACTATCTAAAATTATTATAGGTACTAATACAAGGCCTGTGATTGCTAATTTTTTTTCTTAAAATCTAAAATTAATGAGAAAAAGTAGTTGAAAATTTAAATACCTTTCATAAAATATACATATTATTATATATTTAGTATGCCATTTTTTTATTTGTGCGACTTACATGTGTTATATTATAATATTTTTTTTAACTTACAACATATAACTATACATCAATTGAAAAATAATTTAATTTTTATAATGAATTTTAATAAATATTATTATTTTTTGAGTATCAAACCAAAATACCCAACAAGCATTAGCTCTCCCTGAAGAGGAGGAGATCCAGCCGGATTAGTCGACATTTTTTACAAATTTTACGAACGGAAGCTCTTATTTTCATATTTGTTTTTCCTTAATTTTCATTCTGAATCTACGCGGTTATCAGGTTGGACTTTTTGCGAGAATTTCGGAGTTAATGATCGTGGGCGCATAGCAATCCTATGGAACCCTGCGAAAACTGACTCGAGAAAGGGCTGATCCATTAACTAGGCTATTCCAAGCCACAGCGACTCAAATTGGGATTTCCCTATAGGGTCGAGTCATTTTGGAAAGACTATGAAAAAGATATAGAACGTGAAAAAGAAGAAAATGAAAGGTCTGATTTGCCGAACCTGATGTTCGGAGACGAAAAAGATATTATAAAAATAAATATTATTTATTTATTTCATATATACAATATGGATGTCAAATCGAAAATCATCAAAAGACGATTAATTTGATATATTATATATGTAAAACTGATAAGAAATACAAAAGTTATCAATTTTTGAAATATATTTATAATTTAATAGCTAACTGAAAGAAGCAAATCAAAAGTCAAGAATATATTAGTGACTTAAGGTCTCACTATGTAAAATTACAAAGAATTAAAGTGTTATATCCGTATACGTCTCTCCAAGTTTCAAATGCGACTACACCTCAATTGTAATGACAAGGCATGGTTTGCTTTTCTTATCCATACCAGATAGCATGGCAGAATACCCTCCTCTCATCAATTAGATGGGCAAAGTCCATAGAAACATTTCTCTCTTGTCACAGGTATGTCGTTCTTCTAATCTTATCTAATAATTTTTTATAATAAAGAATAAGGTCAAGAATCATGGATACCTGTTATGAAGGTCTGTGTTAGTGATAACAGTAGGAGTTGCAGGTTACATCGTGTGGTAGTTTTATGCAAGATACTCTTTGGGTGCACCTGTAAGGAACGTTAATTGTGCTGGTCTCAAGCAATTGAGATAGCTAGATTATTATTGAACTCAGCAATATCATAGTAATCTGAGTTAGGCTTTGATCAAATGCTAGTATTTGCAAATACTGATAAAAGAAAAAAGAAGAAAAACAATTCAGGGCTTTTTGGGTTGAAAATACACTTCATTCTTTCCACTGAGGCTTAGCGAACACTCCGCCAAACTTGGCCGTAGTTGAGCTACTTTATTTCGTCAAATTCTGTATGTTTATTTACTGGCCATTTTTCAGGTGAGTGGGAACCAAAACCCTATGTAACTTGTCTTGGTTTTAACGGAAAAAGCCCTCATTCCGATGATGCTATCCTTGACGAGAAGTATCACCACTTTTCCGTTCCGAATCTCACATGCTCCCCAAAATTGTCGTCTCCACCATTTTCTTGTTATCCGTAGCAGTATTGAAAATGGCAACAACGCGAATACGGATAATAGCATCAATACATCGCCACCTGTCCGGCCAAGGATCACTCCACCGGAGACTGTAGAAATACGGTTCAAAAGGGGTTCTAGAAAAAGGAGAAAGCAACAGCAACAGCAACAAGAGGAGCAACAGCAGGATAAGATGGGCCGAAAGGGTTGGGATTCAATGAGCCTCACGGAGAAGGCCATAGAGTTGTACGTGGGTGAGAAGGGTCTGCTCTTCTGGCTCAACAAGTTTGCGTACGCGTCGATTTTTATCGTAATTGGTGGTTGGATAGTGTTCCGATTTGTTGGGCCTGCACTCAACCTGTACCAGCTCGACACTCCTCCCCTTCCTCCTAATTCCATGTTGAAGGGATCTTGAGATAAATACATTTGTCCTCAATATTTTTCTCTGTCTCACATTTTGAATTGGATGTATTGTGGCTAAGTCATCACTTCTGTTTTTTTGTTTTTTTTTTTTAGTATATTGTTGAGTTAATTAGTGTTATTTCTCTATGGCTCATCTACTCTTCTGTTGGCGCCCATGTTTGTCTTGTCACTCACATGTCAACAAGAAATGAAACTAACAGCTGTTTAACTTGTGAATAACACCACCTGAAGCAGGCTTCATAATGGTGACCGATCGAGTCAGAGCATGATAAGCAAATAGGAACATTATTCATTAGTATTGATGTGCTTCTGCACACTGGACCGGCTCTCCTTGGACCCAACCGCTTGAGCTCTCCAAATATCTGCAAAGACGCCGGGAAGTGTTCCCGGCGGTAAACCTCCGATGCTCAAGTTAGTGGAGTACCGAAGAGAGTTCAGTTTTTGTATTAGGGTTTCTTATGCGGTAAAAAACATCATACCTCTCCCTTGTAACCTGCCCTACCTATTTATATGCAGATACTTGGCTTCCTCTCCACGTCTGTCTCCTTATCCGATTATGTAACAATTATCAAGCCCATTTAAACATCAGCCCACCTATTCAATCTGCCTGACCCACTCTTTTGGGCGATATTTGGGCCGCACACTGGCAGATTATTATATCTGACCAACCGACCGGCCCGCATGAATACCCCCAGTTCATAAATCATGTTGACTTCTGCCGGTCTACCCATAATGCTCTCTTTGTGCTACATCATCTAGCTCCCCCATTATCAAACAAGCTATTTTCATAAATAGACTGGTTTGATAATTATTATCCCCATACGCTTGCCCGAGCAATGCGTTTATTATGCTATATCGGACTATCAAATCGGCCCCCACCCAATCCTCCTGCAACGTTTCGCGACCGGATGAGTCAAGTTTCTAGCCATGTTACCGAACAGATGAATGCACCCAGCTACACGGGTCATCCACCACCAAATCCGGGCAGACACAAAGCGCCCCACAATACGGCTCACTTGCCCCCCAACCCGACCATATGCGCACATTCTGGCAGAACACCTGAGCAAAGAAAAAATCGCAACTTTGTCACAAAAGCCGAGCAAAACAAATCGTATACTCGGGCAGGAAAAAATCACTCCCTTGGCCCTAAAAATCCGAGCAAAGAAACAATCATTCAATGTGCTCCAAAGACCAGAGCAAAGAAACAATCCCTCGTGCTCCCAAAACTGGAGCAGAAAAATCATTCCTTGTGCTCCCAAAACCGCAGTAGAAAAAATGTCTTATTTCGTCCCAAAATCCGAACAGAATAAACCACGTTTTTTGCCCCGAAGGCCGAGCCGAAAAAATCATGCACTTTACCCCCTAAGACCGAGCATAAAAAATCACGCACTTGGCTCCCAAAGTCCGCGCAGAAAAAATCACGCACTTGGCCCCCAAAAGTCCGCGCAGAAAAAATCACGCGCTTTGTACCCAAAGACCGAACAGAAATAAGGCACGCACTTTGCACCCAAAAATCGAGCATAAATAAAGCACACGCTTTGCACCCCAAAAACCGAGCACAAATAAGGCACGCACTTTGCACCCAAAAACTGAGCAGAAATAAGGCACGCACTTTGCACCCAAAAACCGAGAAGAATACATCGCACACTTTGGCCCCAAAATCTGAGCAGAATACATCGCACACTTTGGCCCCAAAATCTGAGCAGAATAAATCACACACTTTGGCCCCAAAATCCGGGCAGAATACATCGCACACTTTGGCCCCAAAATCCGGGCAGAATACATCGCACACTTTGGCCCCAAAATTCAGGCAGAATACATCGCACACTGTGGCCCCAAAATCTGGGCAGAATACATCGCACACTTTGGCCCCAAAATCCGGACAGAATACATCGCACACTTTGTCCCCAAAATCTGGGCAAAATACATCGCACACTTTGGCCCCAAAATCCGGGTAGAATACATCGCACACTTTGGCTCGAAAATCCGGGCAGAATACATCGCACACTTTGGCCCCAAAATTCGGGCAGAATACATCGCACACTTTGGCCCCAAAATCCAAGCGGAATAATAAAATGCTCTACCGAGCAATTCGTGTGCCCATTGTCCGAGCAGATGAACCAAACGCAATCAAATGCTTAGTCGCGTAACTCATCTGCCACGTTATCCGAACAGATGAACCAAACGCAATCAAATGCTTAGCCGCGCAACTCATCTGCCACGTTATCCGAGCAGATGAACCAAACACAATCAAATGCTTAGCCGCGCAACTCATCTGTCGCGCTGTCCGAGCAGATGAACCAAACACAATCAATTGCTTAGCCGCGCAACTCATCTGCCACATTATCCGAGCAGATGAACCAAACGCATGGCCGAGCAACTCGTTTGCCATTTTGGCTGCGCAGGTCACTAAAAAGTCCAACCGAACAGACGATTCTGCTCGTCCACCGAACCATAACTTGCGCAGACTTTGTCCTAGCAACCAAATCCAATGCTCATCTGCTCGACCTCGTCCGAGCAAAGACAACGCGAGCCTCAACCTACTAGGATGTCGTCCGAGCAAAGAATGTGTTCCTCAATCTACTCGACTTTCGTTTGAGCACGACACACAAGACTTAAACTGCAAAAAATGTGAGCCTCAACCTGCTCGGATTTCGTCCGAGCTAAAAACTGTAACATGATCTGCTCGACATTGATAGCACCCGAGCTCACAAGAGATCGGCCTTATGTCGTCACATTATTTGAACAGCACCCGAGCTCGCAGGAGCTCGGCCTTAAGCCGTCACACCATTTTAACAGCACCCGAACTCACAAGAGCTTGGCCTTAAGCCGTCACACCCTTTGAACAGCACCCGAACTCACAAGAGCTCGGCCTTAAGCCGTCACACCATTTGAACAACACCCGAACTCACAAGAGCTCGGCCTTAAGCTGTCACATTATCCACACCATTTGGACAGCACCCGAACTCACAAGAGCTCGGCCTTAAGCCGTCACACCCTTTGAACAGCACCCGAACTCACAAGAGCTCGGCCTTAAGCCGTCACACCATTTGAACAACACCCGAACTCACAAGAGCTCGGCCTTGAGCTGTCACATTTTTTGTTCTTCATTACGAGCCAGTCACACTTAGTTCATTCATCAGACCAAGACATAAATGTTTCAAAAACAACTCGAAGTTATCCTTAAGGCAACAACCAGATTTAATAACCAAAGCATAAATGTTTCGAAAACAATTTAGAGTTACAATCAAACTGGCAATATAATATTTTTGAGAGTAACAAGGCTTTAGAAAGACCTTACCTTCTGGACCCCTTAGCTCATAAACCCTTCCAGCCAACGCTTTCTAAAAGACTTCTCTCCAAATGGTTCAACACATCCACTCCCTTACCTCATCCAGTAAGATCATCTCTGTTCTGGCCTCTTTGATCAAGCCCTCCTGTATAATTGCGCCCTCGTCTCTGCCTTTCCTCTTATTACCCTCCTCCAACACCGTTTGGTAACAGGTCATTGCCAACCGTTGTCCCCCGTGACTTCACCTACCAGCTCTCCCACGGGGAATCTCATCTTCATGCAATATGTTGATACTGCTGCCTGAAACGAATTCAAGCTAGGCCACCCCACGATAACATTATAAGCCGAATCTGCCTTAACCACCACGAACTACACCATCTTCACCTTCTGAGAGGAGGAGCTCCCAGCGCCATCATCAATTACACCTCTCCAAGTGGCACTACCTCTGCCTCACTGAAGCCAAACAATGATGTCTTGATTGGGGTTATCTCCACACCTAAATCCATCCGCCAAAAACACTCATAGAACATTATGTTAGCAGAACTACCCGTATCCACCATAATCCTCTCAACATCATAGCCCGCAATCTCCGCTGTCACTACCAGAGCATCTTTATGGGGAACCAATATGCCCTGAGAATCTGTTGCACCAAACTTCAACTCTGGCATGGCATGAGCAATCTGGACCTCCGCTACACTCTCCCAATCTGCTCTTAAGTTAGCTCGCCTAGCCCCACTGGAATCCCCATCTGTCGGCCCCCCAGCTATCATATGGATCACTCCCCTTACTCCTCTTGCCTCCTTTTCTTTTCTCCTCCCTCAGCATCATCTCTCTCCTCCTTGTCTTGCGCTACGAACTCCTTCAAGTGTCCGGCCCTTATCATTCTCTTGATCTCATCCTTAAGCTCATTGCAGTTGTTCGTCCAGTGCCCATAATCACGATGATACCTACAACAAGGATCAACTTCCACAGGCACCTTTCCTGCCTTCTTAAGTAAGGGTTGAGGTTTGCCAAACATCTTAGTTTCTTCACGCCTCTCCAACATCTCAAACACCTGCCCCCTTGGTGATGTCAACGGAATATAGTGCTCATACCTGAAGCCCATACGTCCCCTATCATCACTCATATAATCTTTGACTCATGACCTTCTGTCATCTGACCTGTTTTTTTCGTCCTTCTTCTTTCCCGATTGTGCGCCTGGAAATCTGCCTCTGTTTCTTCCATATTCATATACTTGGTGCATCTTTCCAACAATTCATCGTAGGATCGGGAAGGCTTTTTAGCCAGCGAATTTTTGCAATGGTCTGCCTTCAACCCCCGCGTCAGCTCCCCGGCCTTGATTTCTTCGGTTGTCGTGGGCACCTCTACACACGCGCGGGTAAACCTGGCCACATACTCCCTCAGGGACTCATTTTCACGCTGTTGCATGTTCATAAGGGACATATACGTCTTCTCATGTTTCCTCGCGCTAGAGAACTGATTAATAAATAGCAAACTAAATGCGTCAAAGTTGTGGACAGATCCTGCAGGTAACTGATGGAACCAGTCTTGCGCCGGACCCTTCAAGGTTGTCAAAAAGGCTCTACAACAGACACCATCGCTATATCAGTGCAAGACCGCGACATTCTTAAAACTCCGCAAATGCCTTGCCGGATCTGAGGACCCATCGTAATATATACTCGGCTATCTAAAACTGTGAG